TGTAATCCCATTACTTTGGGAAGCCGAGGCAGGCGGATCACCAAGTCAGGAGTTTGAGACCACCTTGGCCAACATGGTGAAACCCTGTCTCTACTAAAAATACAAAAAGTAGCTGGGTATGGTGATGGGCGCCTGCAATCCCACCTACTCGGGAGGCTGTAGCAGAAGAATCGCTTGAACCTGGGAGACAGAGGTTGCAGTGAGCTGAGATCGTGCCTCTGCACTCCAGCCTGGGCAACAGAGTGAGACTCTCTCTCTCAAAAAAAAAAGATACAGGAAAATGGTCCATTTTTATGCTTAGGTTCAGCAAAGTATAGACAGCGGTGTAGAAAGAGGATTGGACACAAAGGGCGGGATCTGAAGGAACAGACTGAGCGGGGGACCCAGCCAGGCCTGTCTGTCTAGATTTTTCTTGGCCTCTCTGAACAGCATTCTTTCTGGGTGTGGAACAGAACCCTATCTTGAATGGGGGTTTTATGACCTACAGTCAAACCAGGTAGATTGGGTAATTTCTTTCATTCTTTTTTTCTTGCTTGCTTTCCTTTCCTTCTTTCCTTTCTTTCTTTCTTTCCTTTTGTTTTTACTTTTTTTTCTGTTCTGTTGCCCAAGGTGGAGGGCAGTGGCATGATCACAGCTCACTGCAGCCTCCAGTTCCTAGACTCCATTGATCCTCCTGCCTCACCGCCACGCCCAGCTAATGTTTTTTTAATTAAGACGGGGTTCTCAGGGCCAAGTGTGGTGGCTCATGCCTATAATCCCAACGCTTTAGGAGGCTGAGGCGGATGGATCACCTGAGGTTGGGAGTTCGAGATCAGGCTGGCCAACATGGAGAAACCCGGATCACCTGAGGTTGGGAGTTCAAGATCAGGCTGGCCAACATGGAGAAACCCCGTCTCTACTAAAAATACAAAATTAGCTGGGCGTGGTGGTGCATGCCTGTAATCCCAGCTACTCGGAGGAGACTGAGGCAGGAGAATCACTTGAACCCTCGGGAGGCAGAGGTTGCAGTGAGCCAGGATTGCACCATTGCACTCCAGCCTGGGCACCAAGAGCAAAACTCTGTCTCAAAAAAAAAAAAAAAAGACAGGTTCTCGCGGCCGGGTGCGGTGGCTCACGCCTGTAATCCCCACGCTCTGGGAGGCCAAGGTGGGTAGATCACCAGTTCAAGACCAGCGTGGCCAACATGGTGAAACCCTGTCTCTACAAAAATTATAAAAAAAAAAAAAAATTAGCCAGGCATGGTGGTGCATGCTTGTGATCCCAGCTACTGAGGAAGCTAAGGCAGGAGAATTGCTTGAACCAGGGAGGCGGAGGTTGCGGTGAGCTGAGATCATGCCACTGCACTCTAGCCTGGGCAATAGAGCAAGACTCCATTTCAGAAAAAAA